ATTCCAATAGTAATAATGAATATCTTTGTTATAATTATATCATCTTGTAAGAGAATCACTCCATCTTCTTATACTCAATTACAACTTATTGAGGTGCTGTTAGGGGTCTCCTCCATTTTCAGCACATGTCTTTACTCAAAACTACAACATTCATTAATCCTCCTTAATACCTTTTCATACATTCAATCAGTGTACATTTTACGTATTATTGCCTAGTTTCTTCCTAAACTAATAAATGTGATTTACTATGGTCTGTGTCCTATTAATATCTTTGGCCCTGTTTGCTACAATTTATTATTCTGTTATATTTTCAATTCAATTCTCTTTAACATCCGTCCACTATTCTTTTCAAATTTCATTCCTTCTTTATCCCCTTTAATATTTATTTCCACTCCCCTATCATTTTGCATGCAACTCTTACCCTATTCCTTCTCATGCAACCAGTGCTGACATTCTGTTTTCAACAACAGGTTCTCTCCAATAGTTTCCTATATCTTCTTATTTTTAATTCAATAGAATAAATGGTTCATTAATTGAGGTAGCATGCCTCTCCAGAAAAGTTGTATTGCAACATACTTTTACAGATTTAGGATTACAGTAATTTAATAACTAAACTACTCTGTCTGAAGGTTACAAAAGTTGTCAGAAAGCGAGTTGATTCTGTGAATATTTTGCATTCTCCTTCTTCCTGACGTGCGTGTTAGCAGCCGTATGGTGTCCAAAACGTAGCAAGGATTACACAAAATGAGTCGGTCACAATCAGCAAAAGGATCAAATCAAGAGTGATCTCAATCTGAAATATGAATTCAAGACTACAATAATTTTAACAACTTTATTGTGATGAATTTAACTGCTTCTACGTATCACCAAACATTTAACAACCGGTTCTGGGAAATACAATCATTTTGAGAACCACTTCGCGCGAATCGGAACGAACCGGCTGAATCACAGCACTGCATGCAACCTGTAGATTGATTAGTTATTCTGGACACGTCTTCTTCTACGGTCATTAGTTCCGTAAGTATACTGCGTGTATTTATCGCGAGAGGAGGCGGTAATCTTCCCCCGCCGCAGCGCTGGCAAGATCCGGCGCCGACCTGCGTCGACTTGCCGGGATTTTCCCAACCAGACCATCGATCCCATCGGCGTGGCACTATCCCAACCGGGATAAGTTCTAAGCCACCGGGACAATATCTCCCCACTGGCCTCCGGAAATTTGTGGTAGTGTACTGCAAGTAACTGTGTGTGTAATTAAGGAGTGAGGATAGGACAATGAAGAGAAACGAAAGATCTCGCGCAGTTCGTGGCCCGTTTTTTTGTACTGCTTCTTCATTCGCCAGGTAATGATCGTTGGAATCACTGAAAACTACCCATCAGAGCTGTCGGCCGCTATAATGCTCTTCCAGAATTACCTACCTAGAGTCTAAAGTTCTGCCACAGTAAGGACTTCCGGTCTGCGGCACTGTCGTGACATCAATTCCTTGAGGTGCTATTGGCGATTTCCCTTTTTTTCGGCCCACTCCGAAAAAAAGAACCGTTGAGTATAGATCCATGATACTGAAACAAGGAAACTTGTGACAGTATCAAGTATCTGGTATACTCCAACGGTTCTTTTTTTCGGTATACCTATACTCAAAACTACATCTCTCTACATTACCTCTTTCACACACGTCGGGCGAGAACATCGCGCCTAGCACACGTCCCCTATTGCGATCGACACCCCCTTAACGTAAAAATGGGTTAAATTTAGGAATATTATTTTATC